AATTATCCTTTTATTTCTTGCATCTTAATTTAGTTCAGTTCAGTTCTTATCGTGATTATCTACTATTTCATGTCTTGACAATTCTCAATGTTTTTAAACATATTAAAATAAAATTGTGTTTATTTAAAACTTGACTGAAAAATTATTATTATGCACTTTTTTAAGAAAAAAAAGTTTAATAATTTAGATAAAGCGACGCTAGAAAAAGCTCGGCTCAAAAAAGCTCGAGCTCGAAAATTTTTGAAAAAGCTCGGCTCGGCTCGGCTCGAGGTTGAAAATCACTATTCGCACACCCCTACCTTACGGTCACAATATATCTCTGGCACCAACCCAACTAAACTAGTTCAATGCACAGCTGCATTGTATTATATTCACAGCAGTCTGGTTTATAAACTAAAACTAAAATAACACAATGTGGTCAATGTCAGATTAACTAATGAAAAATAAACTCGAGAAACTTTCAACAAAGCAAGCTAAACAACAATGTATCATCAATCTTGCTTCATTGAAAAGTTTTGTTTGAAGTTGTTTAGCAATATTTCTGTAAACTTTCAACTATATTTTTAATCGCTTGAAACCACAAACTCTGTTACTGCTAGTTCATTTTTCATCGGTCGTTCTTTTTCCTCTGTTTTACGCTGTGAATGTCATAGCTTCAAGTAGATTTTTAACTTTGTTTCACCAATTTCTATAAGTAAAGTCCTGACTATAATTTATCACAATTTCACTAAACCTTTGACTTTTTTAGATACCAGATTAGATATTTTATATAGCCAATTTATTCAACTAGAATACAGTTCAATGAGCCACATACAGTGTGCTACATTTAAATTATACAGTATTTTCTCTCTTAATTCTCGATACTTTGATCACTATGTATTAATAGGGCCATTATGCTGACTTGGATCATTGGCCTTTTAATAAATGATCCCAACTAAATAAACAGCTGATCTTAGTCAGTAGCTTCGCAGATCGTCTCACCACCCACACTCATCTTGGATAGCCAAGAGATGTAGTTACTGATCTCGTATTACGTAGTAACTGGCCTACTTTAAACTGTGAGCTAGGAAATATTTACTCAGGGACGCCGCAAAAAATGGGCCCTATGAGCCTTGGCCCAGAGGTGCAAGAGGTTTTAGGTTTGTTAGGAGCACAAGGAAGAGAAAAAGGAAGGGTAGGTGGAGAGGGGCACAACTATCTTTTGGGCCGACAGCGCATCACATGCAAACCACAAGCCTGTAATTACTTCAACTTATATACAGATTTCAAGTAAGAAATAACTGCAAACATATATTAATTAAAAACATATGTGTACGGTATTGAAATTAGTAGATTTTCAAGCTCAAAGACGCCAACTCTATGATTTATCTGCAAAAGTGAAATATATCTTCGCGTGAACTTGCAGCTGACATATCTATTTACGTTCCGAGACAGCTCGGAGGGATGAATAGGAAGGAGATGTGAATGGAAGCCATTTGCGCACGGACGGAATCCTAGCAATAAAGCATGTGGCAATATTGAGCTCTCAGCTGAGCCAGCAGACTATTGTCAGTTCTAGCTGTCAATACTGATATCCGTAGTGTAAACGATGTTTGATGGCGGCTTTTATCCTTCAATTTGAATCTACTTACTTTTAGGAAGTCTGGAGTTTGCTATTCCAAATCTTGTATGAAACATGGACGTGGCTGGTATAGAGGTAATGGAACTTCTCTCAAGAAGGTCTGGGTTCAAATCCTGTTGAATACAAATGGATATTAGCTATATGAATTAACCATATAATTTGTAGCACACTATGGTATAGGTCTATCCGCAAAACATTTAAGATTCTAAAGCAAAAGGATCTTTCTCTCTACTGTAAAACTCCCTCCTCTTAAGAGGGTTCCATCCGCCCGCTGTTTACCATGTAAACATGGTCCTACAATAAGAACCTCCTGGCATTATTATAGTGTTTATCGAGTTGAAACTGTAAAAAATTAACAAAGATCTTAACTATGCACTGGCTGAACTGAAACTTCGTAATTGTTTACAAAATTTCATTTGGAAAATCCATAAAAGTAGGCCTAGTCTTTTTCATGCGATTTTAGCTTCTAAATAATAGTTAAAACATTATTTTGGCTCCACCCATTGCAAGTTCTGATATGTTAAGAGCACAAAAACAAGCACACAATCATTGGAAACAAATTTGTTTTAGAATTTTGGGAGCTTGTACCATAGATGCATTAGAACCTGGTAGAACCCTCTTAACGTCAACAACACTTATTATTTAGTATGAAGTACAAGTTTTAAAAGTAATCTCCAATTCTCAGCTTATTTTCAAGAGTAAAAACATGATTTTGCTATAGGCCCTACATTAGTGACAAAATATAATTAAACAAAACATTAGACCGAAGATTGTAGTAGTGGTCACTTGTGAATGAAAAGCAAATAAAGAACACATATTTACCAATTGAATTTCGGTTACATGAAAAGAGTCAGTTGGTCAGGGACAATTGAAGATTGAAAAGTTGATTGGGAATCAAATAAGCACATAAAACATTGATAGATATGGGATTCAGGGTTGCAAAAGATATTTTTTTGCAGGGGAGTTATAAAGCTGAAAAGTATTTTCATTATTCTTTTTCATCTTACTTACATTCGCCTCTCCTCTGAATGCCTACCCATCCGATCCAGATTGAGTTGAATCATGAATGTGAGCTAGAAATTAATGGTGAATGACTAAATTAAATTTACAGCTTTATATCTTAAACCAAAATAATTAATTACATCCTGTTACCATTAGCTCATATAGGTACTGAAAAATAAGTTCTTAGCTAACAGATTTATTTTATCGCTACATTTGTAAATGACGAGGAATTAAAAGCACTGTAGGGATTATTTAATGAGTTGAGTTTTCTCATTTTGTAAGTAAAATAAGACCTTTCACTGCATTCTTTCTGACACCGTTTTGTTCCTTAGTGAAAACTGGAAATTAAAACATAGGCTAACAGTAAAATTAGATAATTTTTAAACCTTTTTACAGTAAACTAACTTACTTGTAAGCATTTTTTAAATGAGAAACAATCTTTTAATAGGTACATCCTTCTAGCTTCAAATTTTGTTCAATAATGAGCACTTATAGTTATACTTTTCTGCACAAATTATGAAGAAGTATATCCTATACTCTTATGAACAATGTATGCTTGTATGTATGCTTACACAAAGATCTTGAAAACGGCATCAATGATTTCCTTCAAATTTTGTAAACAGTTTATTTCTGGCCTAAAAACTTGATTGACGACAGCCACTACCTCAGGAAAATTTGTATTTCACTGCACAACTCATTTGAAAATTTTTAAATTTAACATTGGTTTTATGGGTTGCCAAGTAACTATGTTGGTTTAACAAAATAACAAGAAAAGAGTAAACAAAAGATCATTTGTTAATAACAAGCCATCCTCAGTATACTAGCAAATTATAATATACAGTACAAAGGAAAAAAAACATCAGCTGTTACTATTGATTGAACAAAGATTACACCGAATATTACTCGATATAAGGGAAAATAGTTTTGATCAAATACTTTGATCATTTTACTTGGCTCTCTCCTACCAAAACTTAATCCCCGAAGTACTGAGGCAATTATTAGCAAACTTTATTATAACACAGTTCAACCAATGTTTAATAATATATTTATTTGATATAAATTAGAATGTAAACAAACATGCTGTTTTAATTTAAACAAACTGTGAAAACAATGTTTATGTAGACTATTATTGCCAGGTTAAAATTTCCATTATAACTAGGGTTGCTTTCAGAGAGGTGAAAGCCAGTTGAGCGGAACAAACGTGATTTGATATTTGTATAAGTAACTAAATGTAAAAAAGTCAATAGATGTACTAATGCTGGTTTTATTGTTTAAAATTATAATAATTCAGATTTGTTTTTACTACATCTTGTTATTCAGATACCTCTTCCAAAAGTACATTATGGTAGTTTTGACCAGGAAAATATTATCAGTTAATTTGGTGCAACACAAATAAACAACTCGATCAATTACCTATAACCATAGATAAAACATACTCCCTTAGATAACCTACACTTTACCTTCCTAATCTAACCTTACTTCAAAACACTTAATCTAGTCACGAATACTCATAAACCCCGACCTACCTTCCCCACATGCCTAAATTAGATCAGTGTTCAATCTGCGTTTTATTAATAAGTGTAATAACTTACTGCACCGTCGATGTAATTCAACATAATATAACCTGTGATGTATTATCGGATTAAATATCGATTTCGATTCGGTTCAATATATCGCTTATTAAATCCTGATTTCTAACATTGGCTGTTTCTAATCAGCTGGCAACACAAGGTTCATGGTTTAAAAACGTTTAAAAGAAAAGTCTAGAAAGTTCATAAATACCTTATGATTCTCTTGTTTACATTTTTCTTGTAAACAAAAAACTGTCATATGGCTACTTTAGTCCCATAAGCCTAATGTTAAAATTTGGAAATTTTAAGTTCGTTTTAAATTGCATTAGCATTATCTAATTGAAATTTGTTTGTTTATTAACCATCTCACTATTAGTCTAAGTAATCTTGTTAAGTTTAGCTGAAATGTTTTCTGCCGTTATTGAGTGATGTTGCTTTATTTGTTGCATTGAAGTTGATCCCAAAGAGCTACGCTCGCTTCGCTCAATAAATCAAAACTCCATTGAAACTTAAATAATTAAAGCCAAAATTAGTTGTTAATAAAATGTGAGTTTCCTTTGTGTTTCTTTTAGGTACCAGTATCTAGTGTTACAGTGTGTGTTTGGAACAAAAGGTGCATTCTAAGTCTCAATACCAATTATTAAAAGAGCGTAAATCCTAAGCACATGTTGGACAACTGTTAACAACAGTGTATTCCAATGCAGGTATCAGAAGCCTAAACTGTTCAGAACATTAGTTCATGGTAAAACCTTTTACTGTAGTGATTACAATTCATTTTACAAGTGTACAATTGTTTTCTATTGCAGGAAACAATGTGCGGGGTGGCAAGGAGTGGTGTGGGCTGGACGGGGATGGCGGGGACACAGGCTGCGGGGGTGTCGGGACGGAGGCGGGGGAGGGTTCCGACGCCGGGGACCAGCTGGAGGGGACGGACACAACTCCGGACGACGCTCTTCACCTCCAGAGACGGGTGGGACTCCTCAGTGGGGTGGCTCTAATCGTCGGAACTATGATCGGTAGGTTGTTCACAATTACAATGCCTACCGGTATAAGTTATACTTTTTTGGAGAAGTCAGCAACCTCTTTTAACCATGCATTTGTCATTCCACAGTCCTTGGGTTTATGCATTTAAGGTAAGGGTTAAGTTGGTACAGTAGAGTGAACTGCACGGATAAAATTAAGTGGCGAGCACCGAACGAGAATCCACAACATCGCTGCCATAGTTCTTCAAGATACCGACTGAGCCACCAACTTGCCTAATAGCATTGACTTTTTAGAGTCTGATGTATACTAAATGCAAGTTGCATCCATAGTACAGAACAGGGTCTTATGCAAGATGGTCAAGCTATTGACAACACTGGAAACCTCGTGTATATCGTCATGCAGGTTGTGTCAACTGCTTATGACCCTCGTGAAGGCACTAAAGTTTGATTTACTTATTTGGTACCTACTGTAATTCTTCAGTTAATGCTAAGATAGTACAAGGAAATTTTCAGAAGAATTCCCATTTGTTATGTTCAACACTGTGTGTTTCAGGGTCTGGGATTTTCGTATCGCCGTCTGGCTTGTTGATCCGCACGGGATCGGTCGGGATGAGTTTCGTCATCTGGATAGCATGCGGCGTCTTGTCGCTTTTAGGTAGGTCAATAGACAAGACGGGACATTCATTCTTCCTTCAACAATACAAACATAATTGTACTGGACATCATCAAACTTAGGGTCCACCAATAGTAAAAGACTTTTCATGCTCCTACAAATTAAGTGGTGCTAAATTAAATCCACAATGGAAAAAAAAGAATCAGCTGATGTCTTGTATATCATTTTGTTTTAAATATAAATCTGGGGATATGTGGTGTCTATTGGTGAAAAAAAACTCTATAGAACAGCCAATAGAGTTGAGAATGTTGAGAATATTAATAGGTTGTTGATGCTATTGGTTTTATTTTTTACATTTTAATCAGAAAAATGGATTACACAATCTTGTTAGGGTAAAACTTGTTCATTGATAGATAGCAAAAACTATAGGCCATGCGCTATTGGAAGATATCTCCCATGTCCTTACTCCAAATTGTGGAAGAATAAGGTGTTAAAATTTCATATATCATATTTTTTTGTTTCATTTTTTTCACAAATTGTATGGTTTTTTTTGGGTTTGTTAATTTCAATTAGAAAACGCACACTTTTCTCTTTTAGTATAATTGTGCTTGCACCAATAATTATAATTCTTTTTTATGTGTAAATTATGGTCATAATGTACTATAAATCTACTAAGGATGCAAGAAGTTTACATATAACTTTTTTTGGTTCGCAATAGATTGGAACACTTGCTGTATCCAATATTTAATAGCGCTATTTACTCTATATTATTCATTTATGTACGTTATATGTATAGCAGACATAGGCTAGTTTCTTATCCCACTTTGGAATAATGTTAAATAGGAAAAAATCATACACCTATTGAAAAATTACTTCCTCAAATTCACACTCCAATTTCACAACCTCTATAAAAAGCATGCAAGGATTGATGCCAATTTGGACTTGTCTTCATTCATTGCACGTGTTGCTTTTGACAACTCGTGATCCTGACTAAACTATTTCTATTTTTGTCAAATGTAGCCTAACTGAAAATATTTTAGGTCCTATTCATTTACAAAAAATGATGATTAAATGTGAAATTGTGATTTTGTTTTCTGGTATTAAATTAATGTAAACAATATTCTTATTCTCAAATTTGAGTTTTTGTACAGGTTATGGAGGAAGAGACTTGTACGAATTTTACTTGTTGAAGTAAAGTATTTTTAATTTACATCTCTAATTTACAATGATGTCAAAGCCCAACAAAATGGATAGTAATAATTTTGATTGTGAATCTGAACGTTTTAAAACCGAATTAACTTCTCGGAACAAAAAGTGAAGAGAGCTGTCGAGTGTTGAGTGTTAAGTGATGATGTGCCTTACATTGACTTAGTTAACCCTAGGTCAGCGCAGCACTCGGGTATCACGTGATGTCTCCGGCCATTTAATTCCGATCCTTGACTCTCAGTTTGTCTTTGTCTCGCAATGAACTTATTAACAGAAACATACCATTGAAAATAACATCATTTTTGTTCTTTGGTAAAAATGTCCTCAGAAAATTCAGTACTTACTCTTAAAATAAATTCAAATATACTTTTTGTTTGAGGCAAACTTAAAAACTTTAAAGGAAAAAGTCTATGAAAACAATTTAGAGTGATGTATAGATGTTTGATATTCAGACAGAAAATTCTAGATGAAATGTACCATTGAGAAAAATAAAATCATTTTTGTTAAATTTAGTAGGATTTTTGGGAAACATCACACTTTAAGGTAATACAGTTTAAGGTATTTAAATATTTAAAACAATAAATCAATAAAATATAAGTATTTATTTGAGGCAAGTTAAAAAAAAATATTCAAAACATGACTTTCTCCTAAAGGGATACCGGTATATAAAGTCTAGATGTGTATATAGACTGAACAGTCAAGATTGAAACACTGAGTTGAATAGAAACTTTGACTATTGATACAACTTCAGTATCCATTAGTTAATGATAGAAGCCAAACTAGTGAAAAAAAGAATTCAGTTAACCAAACAGCACCTGTGCGAAATTGATCTGGAAACCATCATCCTCCATGTGCAGCTAAAATTTATTTCTGATTATTTATAAAATATCCTAAAATTTTTACTACTTGTTTGAATATACATGAAAATGTTCTCAAAATGATTATATCAAGTTTTTTATGATTTTTAAGAGATGAATATCCACATGTTTCTAATAATGCTATTAGGAATTGTAGATTAAATACAAGGGCAGCTTTTTAAATAATGCGCATAAATTCGTAGTTCGCTTGTACACCCCAACGACATTCATCGCCAAAGGACTGAAGGCTATGGCACTAATGTAATGAGTGAGGGTAAAGTGCAGAAATAGGCTAGGGAGTCCAAACATGGCCGTGAAAATGTTTATTTTGGAAGATATTGTGTTTTTTGTGGATTCTCACAGAAGACCACAAAGGAAAAGGATTTCACGGCCATTTTTACACTCCATAACCCATTTTCACACATGAATATACACCAGAACAGGCTACAGATTCCATTAAGGATATGGAAGCAGAGCCGGCGAGAGCCATAACAGGCCCCTGGGCTGAGCGATCGCGGGCCCTCTATTTTCCTGATTAAGTGTCCAGCCGCCTCCGTGCCGTTTTGTTATACATATAACAATATACTATTATACTAACATTTTTATTTTTTACTTAAGCAGATTACATGTACAGAAAAGATTTATCATTTGACCGGACCGGGCCCCTTCAGAACCCAGGGCCCCGGGGCTCTGGCCATCTAACCGGCCCTATGTGGATGTCTACTTGCTCCTCCTTTTACCTCCTAGCCTCAGATGCCTGACTGGGGTACCTACTAAGGGATTGAGATCGGGAATAAAACAGAAACTTTCATTTCATGGTCCAATTTCCCAAAGTAAAAGCAAAAGCCAATCAATTGACAGTTAGGTAATTCATAGGAGAAGCATACAGAGTTACAGACTCACAAATGTTCGAATTTATACATATAGATTTATATCAAAGCTGTTGGGGCAACTCTTTACAAAACCTGTCTAATGGCCTTCATCCAAATTTTGTGCGCATGATGTTGTACTTACAGGCAATAATTGTAAATCACAAAACAAAATGCAATTAACATTAATGGGGTGATTATAAAGAAGTAATTGGAGTAGTTTGAGAGTATAATGTTTGTTGTGTGGGTGCCGTGCCAAGTTACCTGGCATTGGATATATTAGTTTGGCACGACACAGCTTCATATCGATGCTGCATTCCTTGCCTTTGTCTAAGGATGGTTTACCTCTGTGTGTCTACATTCCAAAGTAGGAATAATTTACCTTGAATTTGCTTTTGAAAATAACCGATTGCAAAAAATTTATAATTTGAAGAACATATTTAAATTTGAGTTCTGGATTCAGCTTTTTAAAAGGGGATCTCAATTTTGTTTGATTTATGTCTTGTTCAAGGTATATAAACATTGCCAGAAAATAATCTTTCCAGATTATATTCTATTATTCCTGATTCTTGTTACCTAAACTCTTAAAACAAGCTAGTTGTAGTTTATGGTGTTTGCCTGGTAGGAACGGCGTTTTCACAAAGCTTTTTACTCAGTATTAATGGGCTATCCATTTTATTCCGAGATTATGGTGAGCGCTACTGCAGTGAAAAATTTACAATCACACCACTTTTGCCAATTCAATTTTGAAAAAAAACTTAGTTGTAGCTTATTGTTTTTTCAAAGCTGAACCCAACTGTTTATTATCATTGTGTTTTTAATGCACGGTTCTAAAAAAGAAACAACTTATCTCAGTCAGTAAAAAACCTATAAAGTTTATCTCACACCATTCCACATCCACACTCACTCATCGCCTACACCCTGGTTTTCATAAAATATCACTAAAATATTCTAGCTGTCTTAATTAAATTATTAAAAGACACTACCAACAACAATATTACTTGGTTTGATCATAAACCGGTACACTTGCAATGATTATGTTTCTCAATTAATGCTCCAATGTTAAAATTGTGGACGCTCTGGTCTAGACCCCTAGGGGCAGAGTGCAGGGCTTTGGTCCCTGAAAACCCAGGTTCGAATCCCGCCAGATGCAAACGGCTGTAGCTATATGATTATACGGGAACCCTGTAGGTCTAGCTTGAAGTAATGTGTAAAAACAGTTCTAGGGTATATCTTAGGGTCCTAGGATGTAGAGGTGGAACAAAAAGTTTGTAAAGGCTATTTACGTGTAGCAATAAATCTTCCCAACCTGTTTTGTCGACACCCTATTTTTTACAAGTCAGAAATAAGACAACAGAGATTGAAAGAGATGCGTAAATGAAGCAGACCCGTGTAGAACAGCAGCTATTCTCGTGCTGGCTGATACTGCTGGCAATGTTTGTCCATCGCACACGCTTGATGATCCGTGACCTTACAACGGACCTGATAAACAATACCTTGTACTACATTTATAATTGTACACGATAATACAATTGTATAGGTTTTCTCGCCTCGATCAAATTGATCTTTGTTTTACTACCACACTTGTTTACACCATTAAAAACAAGAATCGATAGTCTTAGATTTGTTAACAAAAATGTTTACACAAAATGATGTTTTCTTATGGATATTCTTCATGGTAGGTTAGGATTAGTTACTGTCCCAAGGGGGAAAAGGCCTCCGAAGCTGCATATGAGAATGAACGAAGACAATTCCATGCCTACGGCTTTCTTAATGGTAATCAAAGCTATTGTCTTCGGAAAAAAGTTAAATTTACAAGTGAGATAAGCATGTAAAAATACAAGAAAGCACAGGTGATGTCTTCAACTCCAGCTGATTCTTTTTCAACCTAGGAATAAAAATAACTACTCTATTACACTACTTACTCTATTACAAACCATGTCTCCAAAACAGCTGTTTTCTGCAGCAAATAATTTATTTGTTTCCTCGTTAAAAACTCTTAACCTAACCAACCAAAAATATTTTACCTCTTCAGGTGCACTGGCCTACGCTGAGCTGGGAACTATGAACACGAGTTGTGGTGCCGAATACGCGTACTTCATGGACGCGTTCGGTCCACTTCCAGCATTCCTGTTCTCTTGGGTATCCACACTGGTGCTCAAACCCTCTCAGATGGCCATCATCTGCCTCAGCTTCGCCAAGTACGCTGTTGAAGCCTTCGTCTCCGAGTGTGAACCACCCGACACTGTCGTTAAACTGGTCTCTGTACTGTCTATATGTAAGTTTGCGGAAAAAAACATTTCATTCATTTATTACTTTATACAGGAAATATTTTAGTTTATTCTTTAGTTAAAGAAAATTTAGTTTGATTTAATAGAACTAAACAGCTGATCTTGGTAACAAAGCTACACAGGTTATCTATCTATATTATTAATGTGCTGCATGAAACTTTGTGAACAATAAGGCTTTTTGTTTTAAGATTCAACCCCACATATTACATACCAAATTGTTCATCTAGGTGTGTAGATTTGCAAACTGACCTTAAATTTTTGAAAAAGTCCCTTCACTGTTTGTTCCTCGTTATTGAACCTACTTAAACTATCTGACATACGACTGTCTTTGATACCTGGGCTTTTAATACATGGTCATGGCTATAGAAACAGCTGATTTTGGACTTCTAATTAATGTGTTCAATTTCTTTTTGAGTACTGGACAATGAGTTAATGTTAATTGGCAATCAAAATTGTATGTTTTATTTAAATTTTTTATTTTAGTGGTGATCATGTACATCAACTGCTACAGTGTGAACCTGGCGACCGGAGTTATGAACGCGTTCACAGCTGCAAAGCTGATCGCCATCCTCATAGTCATTATTGGAGGCGCATGGAAACTACTAGAAGGTGTGTTTCATTGTTGACTAGACTGTACACCACTACTGTAACAGTGAAATATAGATAAAGCTATATTGCTATATGTGTACTGCTCGCATCGTAAGACCTTTGGGGTTGTAGGAGCTATGAATGTATGAGGACGGAGGAGTTGATGAACTGTGTCTTATGCAGCATGTTAAAAGAATCCGAAAATGTATTTGTATGCATGAAGTGCCTAAAACATGGTGTGTATAAGTACACTCAGTGGTGGCAACATGGTTGTCTGTACCCGTTACAGTGTAAAGTTACACCACATGAAAGCAGCACGTGAATCATTGGTACAATACTTGATCCTCCGCAGAGAGGGTCAGACAATACAAGGTAAGGACCTTTTCCCTAAAAAAAAAAAACACTTTCAAAATGCCAAAGGCCCAAAATAAAACACAAAGATATGGTCAGATAACCAAAGACGAGATAATTAAGACTCTGTATTATGCAATGGTGATATAAATCTTTCTTCTAACAAAGTTTGACTAGACTTGTCTGAATGATTTTGGGAAAGATTATACCGTCTAAAAAACAAACACGGCATATTTATCACGGTTACTTCACTCTAAATTAACAGGCTGTTTAGATAAACAAGGTGGTTAAAATTTAGAATATAGTGGTAAGTTAATTTGTTTCTTGTTTATATTGTAAATTTTAAAAGTTGCATTAAAATTATCAAAAAACGTTTTCTTCAGACAAATTCAGATTAAAACAATTAACATTTGAAATTCCAATGTAGAAAGAAAGTATTACATGATACTTACGCTGTAAAGGAAGCTGGCAATTCAACCAAGGGTAGTAAACCGTTAGTGCTGATAGGGGATGTGGGGGGCAAGTTGCAAGTTATAGCCCATTAGGGGGAAGGGGGGGAAGTAAGTGGTTGGAGCAATGACCAGGTCACCTTCTTACTCTCTCCCTCTTTCTCTCTTGTGTAACAGATTTTCTTTCTCGCTAGAGTGACCTGATTTTTATCTTTAAAAAAAGTTTCACCTTTCAAATGAACAAAATATTGCTTACCTCATGAACAATTTGTTATCAAATTAAGATGAGTCACTTGATAACTCAAACATTTTTTCATAGTTTATTAATAGGGTGGGTAAAAAAGTTAATAATTTTTTTGAGTTGTAATACCTTGGAAAAGTTGCTACGCCTTTACTTTAAGAACACAAGGATGTATCACACATCAAGGGTAATATAACTAAATCTTCACTCACCACTATTTATGTCACCATTACTTAACAAAGACGGTAACACAGGTTTCGCTGAACACGGGTGTAAAGGTTTACAAGTCAGTGTAATGGGGGTTGTACTACACCTCTCACCCTACTAGTGCAGTAGACGATTGTGTGTGATTTAAAACGGTTTTTCCAGTCAGAAACACAATCGTAGATTAAGGATTAAAATCACATCTCGATCAGGTTTGGTGTTTAACTCATGAGGAGTTAATATGTACGTAACAGGGCTT